CATACTGACTCGTATGTGGGAGCTTTGGGGATCGAGGAAGGTCACAATACTGCATCTTTCGCTCTCCACTCCAGCTAACACTTCAACAGAAGGCTGATAAATCTTTGTGCTGATATCGCCCTGAGACTGGTATTTCTGATGAGATCACCGTCGTATATGGACAACTTGGTTTGCGAAATTAATAATCGGGTTTTAGGAAAGGATATCCCCTGTTCAAAGAACACAAAATCCCTTCCGATCAGCGCATAACAGTTCACCATGATTTGGCCATATACAAACAACGACAAATAAATGACACGGTAATGGATATCTCTTTTGTCAAATACGCATCTATATCCGTGTAGTTTATAAAAATGCAATGACGAGAAAAACGGCAAGATAATCTCCCATGACGCCCACGAAATCACGTGATAACGGCACGTGGATAATGTAAAGATTTATCCGGGAAAAGGGGCAGGGGAGAGGGCTTAGGAAAAATTCTCAACTTTTCCAGATTCAGTCAGTTAGCCGGTTAACCAGGGGAACAAAACACCGCATTAGAGAATCGCACAGCTAAACTGAGAATGACAGTCACATGGTCTGTGATGACAATCACCGTAATCCCTTACCCGGCGGACAGACAGACAAGCAAGTGCAAGTATATGTAGTCAGGTGACACGTTCCGCGAGAGGGACACAAAGATAAAAATCCTACCGAAATACAAATGAACTGCATACTGTTCGCAACCATTCTACGATCAATTAGTCACGATTCATATAAACTAGTGGTATTTGTTTTCCTTATGATGGTTGCTGTGGGACGTGTTTATCTTTGCACGGATATCCGATCTCATAAAGTTTTGCTTAATGAACAGAATTTGATTATTCCTTATAGCCAGGTTAGTCTACAACCGAGATGATCTGAATGCTTGTTACCTCACGATCAAGTCTGTCTGTCTGTCTCGTCAAAAAGTTCAATTTGATCCCAAGGACAGTTTATGTGGATAAAAAGTTTATTGTTTTGGTTCCTGCCTATCCAAGGGAGGATTTTGGGCAACTTTACATGAGGAAGTCGGCCAGGGATGAACAAGAGAGATTGGGAGATCCTTTGACATGTGTCCGCTGTGTAGTTTGTCACACTATCCCGTTGATCTTCATCTTTCACTTTGTTGACCTTGAGGTAATCTGCTTTCGGTCGAGGAAGCGTCGACTTTCACGGATCAGTTGTAAAGATAATGAAAAACAATATCCATATTACTATGCAGTCATTCGATCCGGGGATGCAGCTCCACGGATAATACCGGTAGAGATTCTTACGAGGTAGGATACGGAGCGGTGTCCCCAGCACCGTTTACGGGGTTTCGCAGTCCGAGGGCCAACTAACGGCACCCCATTCGGTTTTTTATTCGATGTTGCCTTCTAACATTTGCACATCCCAGTGCGATCTGTAAAGCAGAAGGATTATTCCAACAGAGCCGGTGGTCCATCG